AAGGATGAAGTTTGAGCTGTATGAGATGTAGAACTGGAAAACAGAAAAGTTCTACATCTCTTGACACTGGAATAGGGAGGTGTATGTCATGTACTCAACGCTTCCAGCTGCATTTTTCATCCCTGAGAGAGATTTTAAAAAAATGTAACGATTCATGATTTAAACTCCATTATATTGTCCATAGGTAACCATTACATTCTGACATGCTGACTCTGTCCTTGAATAAGAACAGTTTGCTCTGGCACATTATGTCAGAACAGGTCGAGAGTCTATATGAGTTAATGTCTCGATAAATTCTCTGAAGAATTGATATTTTTGAATACCACAGCTTGTAGTCAGGCTCATTGGTTGTATCACTTCTGCTTTTTGAAGATAACAGGAAAGCCCTTAACGTTTAAGTGAAAGTTCTTACTTGCATAAACAGTTCTAACTGTCAAAACATGTTTTTCTCTCTGAATGCTGTTGTCCAATCAGGTATTAACTTCTCAGCCATGTTTTGACTATATTGAGATGTTATGGTGTTATGGCTCTAATTTTTTTTAAGAGTGAGGCAGAAGCCAAAATCTCTCATGGACTTGTGATCAAGAGGCTTCAATAAAACTTATCTGGACAAAGAACAATATTGATCATTTGTGGATATTCTATATTAACAGAATATCCCTATCACTGTGGTGTGATTACCTCTTAAAATGTACACTGTACTACAGAGGTGGCTTTTTTACAGGCATGATATCTTCCTGCAGTTCCGGATGCATTTAACTAGTGCAGCCCAACAGCCGCATTTTTAACAATCTCAACAATTTCATCTATGCTAGGTGCAATAAATGTGGCATTAATGTAGAATTTTACTAGTTGTCCCAGATAATTAAAATACATGAGTATTTGTTTGTTATGTCGGTATTTGTTTTCTTTGTTTGGTATTCTATAGCATCATGCATATTCATATTAAAAAAAAATAATTATCTGTCAATATAGTGAGACAACATCACTTGATAAAATCACTTGACCCCTTACATGGCCACCGCCCGCTGACAGGCCCAAAGTTTTATTACACACTTCTAGAACCTAAGAATAGCTCAACCAGTTTGCACTGAAGTCCCTGTAGTAATGAGCTTTAGCATGTAATAAGCCTGGGATTTTAAGGGGTTAAAACAAGTAAAAACACCTAGAAATAAATGGAATAATCTTATAATAAGTTTACAACAATTTCAAGATGAGAAATATTAGATATATCGACTAGATTTAAGACAATTTCACTTGCCATAATACCATTTTTTGCAGTGTAGCAGACTAGCTAATCTGTGTGAATTTAGCATACAACACTGAAGTAAATCATAACTCGCTGAATCATTGAATTATCAATCACAAATGACTTCAATGTTCACCTAATGAAGTTATTTCCCTTGCGGTGGAATTTGCCTTCTACACTAGCAATGGAATATGAACTTGGCTATCAATTCCATAAACCCGCTAAATTGACTATGAAAACACATTGCTAACAAAGATCCAGTAAAAAAATCCACCTGTCTCTTTATTTTTCCACATCTGCCTCTCGGCATTTCATAAAAAGCCGTTTAAGCTCGGCTTGGTATCACATTACCCAACATGTGTAAATGTTCAGTTATGTTCATGTTCAGGAACTCTGCTGTCTTGCTATGGTTCGCATGAAATGAATCAATCAGTTAACAGTGTTTTTTAATGTAGCAGTGAATGAGTTTTTCCATCACTGGGGGGCTGTTACCGGAGTAACTGGGCTAACCATCACTGGGCACAGGCCTAATACACACACACACACACTTACAGACACATATGGTACAAATGAATCACACATAAAGTATAAATGATCTCCACAACATACACACAGACTCATACCTCCAGGGTTTTCATTAAATTCTACACACAAAGCACTCCAAAGCGAACAGTGCAGCGAGTGGTTCCTTAGGTAGCGTCTCTACTGAAAACCCACACCTCAACAAGCACAGCTCAACAGGCACACATGCCCACAATGGCAACAATATATAACACAAACGGAATTCCAAAACAAACGGAATTATATAATAGGAAATCCCAGCCCTTCCTGAGCCAAATAATTCAGCTCGCCTTCATTTTTGTGTTGCTTTGATGAAACAATGGCGAAAGGCTGAGGTCATGCAGTCCTCTATTGTACTTTAGTGCACAGTAGCCACTTCTGGCCAAACAGTCTCCAGTCTCCTCCGAGCAGCATGAATGTGTTTAAACCTCCCCGTAACCTCTACTCCCCAGCCATTATTCCAGCACAGACAATTCATATCCAGGGTTAGCCAGCAGAAATAGCGCCTCAGTCACTGCTCTTACGATGCTATTACAGCCCAAACTCATCCTCTGCAGAAACATTACTATTTACGAATCGCGGGAGGTGTCACTGGAAAGGGAATGTAGTGTCACTATGAGCTGCTGTATAAACGACTTACATGCTTCGACAAAGTATAATGTAGAAGTGCAGGAAACATATTACAGAAATTCCACAAACAATGATCAATCCACTGGATGCAGTCTGCACCCCCTCATATATTATAATTCATAAACCTTAATGTTCCATCACCATTTGCTCACATTCTCACTCAGATACAGATCATGCTGAATATTACATGCTCTATTTCTGTAAGGCTGTTCTTGTAGAAACTGTCAGTATAAATTTGCGTTTATAATATTTTCTGTTTAGTATTTTTATGAAACATTGAAAACAAACACACAGGTCTGTGGGCTGCAGAATTATGTAAGAAGGTTCATGAACTATCACACACTGTATAAATATCAATGTAAGCGCGCCTCAGACTGCACGGATCCACAGGTGGTGAGGGATTTGTTAAGCACGATTACAGTGCACACTCTCTAAAAATAAAGCTGCCAGGAAGGGGTCTTTGGAGAGATGCTACAGAAGAGCCACTTTTAATTCCCTAAAATATTAAAATGGGAAGTTCTTACAACAACCGGTGCTGTAAATGAGTTTAAACTTGTATTTTATTGTTTTTCACTGATATCAACTAATGACGTTTGTGTGGGTTTATGTACCAAAACAGCCACAATTCATATTCACATGACCATTTTCCAACCTCTCTTTATGCCTTACAACTTAACATGCTGTTTGTTTTACTGTGGCTTTAAGGCTAATGTATGTAAATGCCCTCTGTTCTGATAGGTTGCTCTGTCCTCACCTCATTCGAAAAGCAGTCAGGGCTAAAACTCTCCTTTTATTTTTTTATTACTTCAGTGTTAATGGGCAGGGCCGCTGTAGGCTGAATAGGCGGATAAATGTAAATGCGTATATTTTTGTGACATCACAAAAATTATGATTTTAAAACAGGGTTTCGCAACTTAATTTTCATGATGTTATAGACTGGTAAGTGAATGGTATGTTTTAAAACGTTCTGCATGCATACGTACTACATAAATACATAAATAAACACAACACAATTTAGTTCCGCATGATGAAGGCCCTTTAATTTTTTTTACTTTATTTTCAAGAGTGTAGCATGAATTTCTATTGTTCTCAGTGCTCTAACTTTTCAGCCAATCTGAGTTTAAAGCTCCTCCATCATTAGAAGACAAACCAGGTTCTGATTCAGTCAGCCTCCAGTTTTCAAATAAGTGTATGCTTTTCAAAGCCATCTATCTCCATTCAAAGCTCTGTCTTTGAATTTTGGGAAGCCAACTCTCCTTCAGTCCCAAGGCCTCCACTTTGCTTTGCTCCAGAACCCATCATTGTGAGTTTAATACAAAAAAGGTAACAATGATTACCCATTATTAGTCTCAGTGTGCACCTTATGACAAGGTCTTAAAATACAGCACTGGACAGAAAACAAGAACCGATGAAGAGCATCTATCAGTGACAAAACCAAGTGCAGCCTAGTGCCTCCTTATATGACAGGGCCTTTCATCCAGAGCATTTATCAACCCTCTAATAAAGCCATCAAGGCCTAATCCCACGATCAGGGCACAACACCATCACTCTACAGCACCTCTCCATCCACAGCTATTAAGGTGAGACTGTGCCTGAGGATTGGAAACCATCTGAGGCGAATGTAATCTCCGTAACTTTGTGGGATAAAGCAAGAGAGCAGGCAGCCAGGCTTTGGGGCTACAGCTAAATGCACAGCGCTGGGAGAGGTTGTTTGTGAAGAGCTGTCTTGGCTTCTTTAATGGACTTGTGAGCAGAGCAGAGCAAATTGTACACCAGGACAACCTGTATCTGCATTAACAAGGGGGGACTCTGCCAGCACTGACCTTTTATAGGCTGATCATACAGTCTCAGGGACTTTTTGGCTTGGCTTTTGATTCCTTAAAGAACCTTCCAACGGCTGGCCAGTGAAGAACCTCACTAAAGTTTAGAGGAATTCCATATTATGTAGTTCTACTTCAATATAATCTTCTTCTACAGCCATAAGGCCAAGCCAAGAGTTATATAGGTGTGTGGAACAGGCAGAGAACAACCACAAAAACAAATAACATACTTCAAGGTCAGCAAGAAATGTACCCTGAAGGACATAACAGCACAGCAAACCTTATAAAATTGTGTAGTGTCCAGAAAAACCTGCCTGTTTCTTTCGCATGCCAAATGGGAACAGATGTAATATCGCAAGGTAAACCAATCCATCACTAAGTGCTCTAGACAAAATGGTCCTGAGCATCAATAAATAATACAGCCCTGTATGCAATATGGGCACGGACCTTCTGGCCAGCGACCAAAATCTTAACGTCATTTGAGGGTCAGAGAGACCATCCGAGCCTCAAGGCTCTTCCCAGCAGCTCCGATATCCCTGGGGGGCACAAAACGCTGCCCACCCTTGGTCTAATCGAGCAGAAATATCAGTGGTCAAGGTCCTTTTCCACTGATTAAATGACCAGAGCTTCCGTGACGGTTGAGGTGACCGTTTAACACCAGTTTAGGAACTTTTCTGTCTCCTGAAAAGTGTCACGATCCTGACCATAACGTAAAGCGTGAAGTCTGTAGGCCCACTTACCGGGATGGCAGCTGATGGACTGGACGAGGAGAGCTGCCAAAGTCAGGCTGAAAACCGTGGGACGGCGCGGTTCCCGTAGACTCCACATGTCTTAATGCGCATTGATGGCGAAGCGCGAAGGGCGAGTTGAAATGAAGCGTCAATGAAGACGGAAAAAAGAGCGATAATAATAATTAAAAAAGAAAACAAAACACTGACTTCAGCGATCGCGCGCCTCTGAGTTCATCTCAGAACACAAGAGCAGTTTAGGGCTGTGAACGAGAAGCGAATAGCCCCGCTCGTGCTCCGTGGGACATACCGGGCAGCCCACTCTTCGGCTCTCGGTGCCTTCCTCATGCAGCGCGAGCTTCCTTCACATTCACGCTCACATTCTCCAAGTTAATTCCGGCCGGGGAGCTCGCCGGGCGCGCGACGGGTTCGAGCTGAGCATGAAAGGGTCGCGGTTCGGCTAATCTCTCCTATGTAGAGGCAAATCCGAGGGCTCTCGCGAGCTCAGTGGCGTTAAGAGCGACGCGCTTCTCCATGCAGGAAGTTGTGAAGAGAAGAGGAGCGCGGGGCTCTGGCAGAGGGATTAGTTTTACAGCAGCACGAGCGGGCGGGAAGCAGAAGCACGCGCAGCCCACCCCTCAGGATCCTAGCGCCGAAGGCCGGGCCCCCTAATGGCTGCAAGATTGGCTACTGGACAGATTTGCATAACGACTATATTCAGCAGGCAAACGACTCGCGCACATTTTGCATGCTTGCGCTGATTTGTTTGGCTTTTTCTCCACGCTACAGGTTCCTGAATGGCTCTCGGTTTAGATGTACACTGTCAGAAATAAGGTACAGTGCAGGTACATTAATGTTCATCAGTGTACAAATAATGCAAATGTACCCTCAAAGGTACAACAGTGGTTTCAGGTCCAGCTGTGTACCTTATATAAGTTTTTTACCAGGAAGAAAGTGCACTCCTAAAATTTGTGGTTCTTTAAGGATTCTTTAGTAAAGAAAGTGGTTCTGTATTGAAACATGAACACTAAAAGAACCCTTTGCTGATTAAAGGGTACTTTGCATCACGAAAGGGTTCTTCAGATTGATGGAGAATGTGCTGTAGATGGTTCAAACTTTTTTTCAAAAGGGTTCTATATAGCACCAAAAGGGTTCTTCTGTGGTTACAATATCAAGCTTTTTTTAATAGAACCATCTGCAGCACATTCTCCATCAATCTAAAGAACGCTATCACAATGCAGAGAACCCTTTAATCAGGCAAAGGGTTCTTTGAGTGTTCATGGTTCTGTATAGAACCATTTTCTGTACTGAAGAACTGTCATTTAAGTGTGCACACATTTGTACCTTTTCACAAGCTAAAGGTTAATAAAACAGAATGATAATATATAAAGGCTGGAGGCGAGACAGTGTGTGGCGAGGCAATGTAGTCTAAAAATGCAATTGCAAAGGATTGTGGTACAATTACATTCCCTAACTAAAGGTACTGAAGACCATGAGAAAAAAGCAAACCTATGCATTTGTGGAGGTTCCTTAAACTTTAAAAAGGTTCTTAATACTTGTACACATCAGAAAAAATGACTCTTTAAACCTATAACACCCAATGAAAGGTTCTTTAGGGTTACCAGAAGAGGTTCTTCGATCACTCTCATCCTTTTTGGAAGCTTTCTTTTTAAGAGTTTAGGGGGTGCAAACCTTCACATCTTAAACGGAGCAGTTTAGTAATTTGCAGGGTCCTCAATATCTACCTGAAACTGATCTGCAAGTGCTGAAGACGCGGCATTATTAAGACTGACGTCATTGCACCGTTTGCCCCAATCAGCTTAATTTGCGTAATTCCTTCAGAATCTTTCACTTTGGTTTGATGTGAAATGATTCGTTGTAGAAAGTTACAGACTCTAATTTCTTTACAGTGGTGAATGGAACCGGGGGTCGCCAAGTCTACAAAGCAAATATTTTTTTACTATCCAAAACCACCAGTGAACCTACAGTGGAAAATCTGAAAAAAAAAAAAATTTCTTTGGGGACTATTTTGTCTCACAACGCCCTGCATGTACCCATCCGCCATGAATGAATTAAAGGAAATGGATTAACAAGACGTTCTAAGCCAAAACGTTATCACAAAACTACAGTAAAACAACGTCCCAGACATCAGGCAGCGTTCATAACCATTTCATACATTAACTTTCTATGGCTGAACTTTTAGGGGCGGGGGTCTGATTCCCCCACTGTGAACAATTCTGACTCGCTAAGTTTCTCTAGAATGGTATTATGCAGAAATTTTGAAAAAAGTGGTAGAGTTCCCCTTTAACGTCTATCACTATATATATATATATATATATATATATATATATATATATATATATATATAGTGATAGGTTACAGGAAATATATATCGTCTATCACAGGAAATATATATCGTCTATCACGATATCGTGATAGACGATATATATTTCCTGTAACCTATGGAAGGGAAATATCAGCTCAACCAATATCCTCTTGTGTGTTTGTATTTATTTATTTGAATATATATATATATTCAATATGTGTATATATGTATACATATAAAGCCATTTTCTATGCCTCTCACATGTCTGTGGAGTGTCTGAGTTGCTCCAAAGCCCCTCAGAACTGTTTAATAACCGCGCGAATAAATAATGAATGACATTTTCCCTCGTGTTGTTATTACTCGGGCTCAGAACCATTTCTGCTGTTCGTCGTCTCTCTGCTCTCCTCCGCTGAATGGGGTTCCTGCTCTTTCAGCCACAGAGACTGGCGCTGTCCACGGTGCTGAAAGTTTGCCAGGCCTTTGGCGTTGGCCGCGCTTCTGAAGGTCTGCCCCTCCCCCAGAGCGCCACAGCTTATATTGTTCTATTTTTCCGCGTGAAGATGGCGAATCTTGGCACTGCAGACTACAGACTACATCCTCCAGGCGCATTCAGTTTGTGTATTTCACTTCGGAAATATACACAGGAGAGAGGTACAGCCATTCCACAGCTGGCAATTTACTGGCAATTAAAAGTGTGATTCATCTGGCATTCCACTGGCAATGTCTCCTTTGCATCTGTGATTATTTGTCTTTCCTGTAACCTATGGAAGGGAAATATCAGCTCAACCAGTATCCTCTTGTGTGTTTGTACTTATTTATTTGAATTAGTTATACAGGAATAACTCATAAGTAAATATACAGGAAGAACAATAAGTACACATGGCGCTGTACAAGTCAGCACCCTTCATTTATTTAATTTCCAGTCAAAATAGGCATTAATTACAAGATATTCAGTTTTCAGGAGACATTTCTGAGGAAATTAGATAGAACCCAGTAGAGGATAAATATCAGTAGAAGATAATTCACTCCCATGAGAAAGGAGAAAGTCAAACAGAATAGATAAAAAAGTAGGACTTTCCAAAACTGAAGTAAAAAATGACTCAAAGATGTTGAGAAAATAGAAGTTCTAACAAGACCTGGTAGACCACTAAAGCTGTCCCCATCAGATAAACAACACTTAAAGCTTTCATATTTGAGAGAGGAGAAAATGAAGCTGCTTCAGATCTGAGAAAATCCACAGGTGTTTCTGTCCATCCTTCCACTGTGAGAAGACAACTCAACACTACAAGTCTGAAAAGAAGCTGTGAGGCCATTACTGAGACAAGAAAACACACAAACAAGAAGAACAACTGCACTCGAACATCAGAGATGGGAAGTAACCCAGACCTCAATGTCATTGAATGTGTTTGGGATTACTTGGATTGTGAGAAGCAGAAAATGCAACCAACTTCTAAGACTGAATCTTGGAGGTGTGAAAAAAGCATCAGTTAGTTGCCACCAACAGTATTTAAGGGTTTGAGAGAGAGGAGGAAATCAAGCTCATCTTTTGCTTCTGAAAAATCCACAGGTGTTTCTGTCCATCTTTCCACTGTGAGAAGACAACTCAACACTATGGGACTGAAAGGATGTGCAGCTGCCAAGAAGCCCTTCCTGAGGAAAAAGGACCAAAAAAGGAGAACATCTGCAAATCAGATAAAGCTGCTGGTGTTCTCAGAACAATGGAAATGACTACCCCAAAGTCCAGACCTCAACATCATCAGTGTGTTATCAGTTACTTGGATTGTGAGAGGCAGAAAATGTAATCAACCTCTAAGACTGAACCTGAGGTGTCTATCCCTGCAGATGGAGCGACGCTGAAACTAAATACATGTTTGAATGAAGGATTTACATATTCTTCATCTTCTAGATGAGGTATGTTCATATTTTCAGGTAAGGCAGAGTTATGTTTAAAAAAGGGAAGCCATGTCATGAAGTTTGAGTTTTACATTATGTTTACGTCACGTCGTCTTCTGTGAGCCTATTGGCTGGTTGCATAGCAGAAATCAGATTATTGTCTGACTCATGTAGATCCAGAGTTTTCCCATTATCCGATTACCTAAGTGCATGTAAACGCGTTGATTGGATTACTGACAAAATATGATTTTCCACATTTATCAGATTATTAAATGCATGTAAACACACACTTGATAACGCAGACATTTTCTCCCTAAATCTTTTCTAAATGTTACTCCTTATTAGTTCCAGGAAAGGGGACAAAATAAGAGCATATCTATCTCTTATCTGTTATCAGTTCCTTGCTCTATGAAAAAAGTGCTTGAAGTTGTTTTACTAATTCAATGTAACTCAGATCGTGCACTTCTACATAAAACTGGGCTAATTTTTCTTGTTGATGAAGCCAGTTCAGTGGAAGCTTTAAGTGTCCATTGGCTCTCCTCAACTCCGTCAAAAATGTGAGTTGAATGTTTTATCACTAATTAGCACCTCCAGGTTCTCTCTGCAGCAGGTAGGCCTGTGTGCTTTCAGAGTGAGCTACAGTGAGCTCCTCAGACAGCTGAAATGAAGGAGAAAGAGAGGGATGATGAACAGCAGGAGAATTTGGGAGAGAAGCCCAGCTGGACTTTAATTTGAAGAATCTGATTAAATTCGGTATTTAATTACCCTTCTCTCAGAGGAGCTGTTGGGGACCGTCACAGTGTTCTGAGCGTGTAGAGTGTGGGCCATCTGCCTGTTCTTCTGGAACTCTCTCTGGTGACCCCTGTAAGAAGCACACGTACACAACACAATGACCGCAGACAGACACTGTGTCCCAGTTGTACAGTTGTGTGCAAAAGTTTGAATATGCCTGGTCAAAATACATGTGTTGTTGATTCTATAGGTACAAATAAATTAACACGTCTCCTACAGGGAACAAACTTAATGTGGCATCTGCAAATCCAGTGCACAGTTTTTGTTTATGGATGTATTAACTTATTTTCACTTAGAAAATCAACTAATTGTAATATGACCGGGCCACCCAAACTTTTGCATACGACTGCCTACTTGACAGTAATTTTAAAAACTATTTTTTGAGTATAGTATAGTATAGTATGTGGTAGTGTAGTATATAGTATTTGAGTATGTAGGGCATAGAGTTAGAAAAAGCCAACGTACATACTTGCCCTGCATTCACATTAGCATGTGACAGACAACCAGTCATTTCCAATGAATATAAGTGACCTGTAGCTG